CTAACCCTAACCCTAACCCTAACCCTAACCCTAACCCTAAACCCTAACCCTAACCCTAACCCTAACCCTAACCCTAACCCTAACCCTAACCCTAACCCTAACCCTAAACCCTAAACCCTAACCCCTGATCCGGATCCGCCTCATTACCATATCCGACGTAACCGCCATCGCCCTAATATCACTCAAAAACGAATCACACGTCTCCCCGACAACCGGCAGGAGAAACCAATTCACCAACCCCGTTTTCTTATCCGCATACTCGCGAACCGCATACTCGTAAATCCCGGAACAGCATGCGCCCACCGCGAAGGAATTGATCAGCACGATGGGCGAGTTAGGCAGTCCTGTTTCATCAAGCCAGTGGCTGCCCATTAGTTCGCCGGAGCCATTAAAGCGGAAGTAGCCCGCGTAGCAGGCAGAGTGGAACCAGTCTCTGCGAGGGAGGATGGTGGTGACGCCAGTGTTAATGGCATTGGTGGTGGTAGCCGCGGATAGCGTACAGGGGTACATACAGTTAGGGCTCGAACGTCGGACTTCTGTGATTGCCAACACCATGACCAAGGAGATTGAAAGCTAAAAGTGAACAACACCTAGCGTACGCTATCATAAGCCTACACTCAGGACGGCCTTCTCTGTACACAAGCCTAGGCTAAGAGAGAACAACAATTAGCGTATGCTATACGCAAGCCCAGACCAGGAACTTAGCATGGGCTTTGCGAGAGCTTGGGCTCAGTGTTAGCCTGACCTGTGCTTTGATAGCATGGGCCACATGTCATGGTATCACATCTGATTCTTTGGATCATATAGCCCAGGCTATCACTAAATCTAAGCTACTGTAAAGCCCAAGCTAAGGGAGATGGGCATGTAGCCCAGACCCAGGCCACTGCAGCGCTCAGGTTAACACTAACTCCTGGCCCAGGGAAGTAACCACGTAGCCCAAGCTACCACGTGCACATAGGGGTGGGCGAAAGTGACAGTTTTGGGACAAAAGACTAGCTACAGTACTGTGATGATTTCGTGTTTTTTATTTCCATGGATATATGAGACAGCCAACAGAGCAGAGAAAAAAGGGTCAAGAGAGCCCTTCTAATCGAGGTCAACATCCTCTTGCTTGGTCGATTCAAGCAACCTCGAACAATTCCTCTCCCCACCCAAAGGCTCGCTTTAAGCGCTTGGCAATGTAGAGGAGCCGGAAGCCTTCGATTTGTGACTGGTGCGGCCGGTGCAGAGTAAGTGGTCGAGGGACAGAGAAATCCTGAGGAGGGGAGAATGTATAGACCGACCCCAGCTTTGGGGTAACAGAAAATTTTAAGTCGGTCATGGCTGCTTCGAATGCTGCCCAGCTGATCGATCCTCGAGACTGCGATCTTGAGAACAGTGTTGAGAAGACCTTGAATGTGTCCGGCTTTACTTTAAGGATTGGTGATATCTCTGTATTTTCTGGTTCTGCAGTGGTTGCTGCGGCTGGAGATATGCTGTATATGGATGAATGTGCTGGTCGGGTTTTATGCTTTTGCCTTCGCTGTTCAACCCGTTCTGCGGGGCTGGGGATATCGGTTATTGGCAAATGAAAATCCTTCATTGTCTCTGCTGCCGCGATCTTGGCCTTTTGCTCCCGACACTGATTCTGGATATTCGACAGACAGTCTTCGTTGAGGTCTTGATAGAGGAATCCCAGTTCGGTGCCGGTCCTGTCGACGATAAATCGGTCCAAGGCGATCAAAGCGCCATCAGCCATACCGGGTTCGAGGAGATTATCAATCGGAACCGCAAATTCTGCCAGGTTGACCTCTGTCTTCAGGGGGTCGATCTCGGTTCCCAAGGACTTCAATCTTGAGACATATGTTTGTCCCTTTCTGGGGTTGATGGGAGGTAATGGAAGAGAGATCGACAGAGACTGGACAAAACTGGTCGTAACCGCGAGGTCGCCGAAGGCGTCAAGTTCTCTTTCTCCCATATGCTCTCGCTCCGTGGGTTGAGATTGATGGAGATCATCTAGCTTCTTAATCCACTCGACCGCCCAGGTGACACCCATCTGGGTTTGGCAGAGGCGGAGCACATAATGAAGCTGGGGATTCTCTCTCGTCAGGACATCCGGCTTAATTTTCATCGTCACACGCGCAGTGCCTTCGTCATAAACGCCGGAAACCCGTTTGAAATACTTGGAACCCGAGCCCATTTGCACATAGCGCTTGAACAGCTTCTGGACCCGTCGGTGCTCGAAATGACAGACATTTGCCATCTCCTGGAGAATAATGCCCTGGCATAGCCGATCATTCGATTCGGTAGCAAGGGCCTGGAGAAGACGATACACATAACCCCAGATTGCCGCTCCAATGACCGCATTGTGAATCACTTCAAAGATGGCGATGCTGATGTATTTGTCTGTGACGAGAGGTATCCTCCGGCCTTTCTCGTCCGGAACCAGCTCCGGTCGGGTGAAGAACCAGCCATTCACGACGTGAGCAAGAAAAACAGGCTCGGTGCGACACAACGTCACGTAGTCCTCGAGAGCAGTCTTTTGGTCGAGCGCCCGAGCCAGCAGGCCTTCCAAGGAAATCTTTTCGGGTTTGGGATCAATCGACAGCGTGGACAGAGCCGCGCGTGCCGCTTCCTCAGGCTTCTTGGGTCGGGTCGTTGTCTTCTGCCTCGATGTCGACCCCTTTTCGAGTATGTCCTCGACCAGGATATTCAGCGCCTGCAACAGATACATTTGTCTCTGCAAAATGAGCTCGCCCGTCGACTGGGGGACGCAGAGCCCAGCGTTCACGGCTGTTGATAGCCCAGCCATCACTTCTCTATACTTGGCCGAGTCTGCAACTTTGAAGGACTGTCCATATTTATCTTCATCGATGAACAACGTGAAACAGTGTCGGAAGGGGTCCGTATGGCGCAGATGATTGACACGCATGCTCTCCAGAATGAATGCATGATCGCCTAGTGAGCCGTGGACTCCCTCACGATACTGATCTGAGAGAGATTTGGTCGCGCGATGCTTTAAATGATTGAGGAGATAGTCCGACTCCGGCTGCGTGAGGTCTCGTAGATTCCACTCCGGTGTGACTTTATACACATTGCCCATGGTTCGATCTGTCGGGTCTGCCAACACATGACCTCCGGCAGCGCCAGCCTTCACAGCTTTGTCTCGTTGGCTCTGGTCCAAGGAGAGCCATATCTGTTCAATTCGCGATCCATGAAGTTGATATTTCCGCCTGAGGTCACAGTGCAGCTCTTTGAGCAAGGCAGGTGTCTCTCCGGTTTCATTCATCATGCCAGGGATCAGAAACAGTGAGTGAGGGCAGAGAATGATGGACAGGGAGAAAGATATTCTGCCCCTAGGAAATTGCGGGGTATAGGGCAAGGCGGTGAAGCAGTATCCCCTTACCTGGTGAAAAGTTATCAAATTAGGGCGGTATTTATTCAATTTAGGGTTCTAATATAGACACACCCCCTTGATATAATTAGTTAGAATCAACATCATTGTCACACCCTGGGATCCGTCTCTGCTGTTCTCTGCTAGTCACTACTTTTGGGAGCGGGTTGCTATAGCCGAACAGGTCTATAGTCCGATACTTGCCTGAGGCCTACCGACCAGGTAGCCTTAACACTATACCGACTGGGTATATGTCGATCACGACGATACAATGATCCAACGGGGATCAAGGACAATCCAAAGATAACACAAGAACAATAAGAGTAGAGATAGAAGCAAGGCCTATTGAGTACGTATAAGTTATACTACAGCTAATTAGATTCCATGATTTAGAATTTTATCAACCCTGTTATTCCTTTATATTCACTATCTGCGAGCTGCTGATGGGTAACACCTTACACTCTGCCACCGCGACCATGACTATGAATCTATGATGGTAACTGCAACCATGACTGCGACTATAACCACAACCATGACCATAGCCACCTCACTGGCGCCCTTGCTGAGGATCTCCCTCTTAATACTAGTAATGGATCAGGCATCCTAATTTATATGGTACTAGGCCTCGAAATGGTCCGACTCAGGTTCCAAAGGTCGGAACCTCGAACCTGAACCTGAGTCGGGTCGCGGTTCCATCAGGTTCGGCTCAGGTTCGAACCTGACGGAACCTGGTTTACATAATTTTACCAAGATTTTCCTATTTCGGATGGATAAAATGATGATTCATCGAGATTTTGTACTGTAATTTACCGCTGTTCTGGTCACAACGTCTATAAACCACGCGATGTCGCCATATCCCTTGTAAAATTATATGAAATTTGTCTGTATATAGAATATATAGCATAGAAAAGGTTATATCCGATGAGATTTAGTGGCCTTAGGGTCCTTAGTAGTTAATTCTAGTAGAAGTTGTGGTTGATGTGGTGTATGAAGCGAGAAAATATGGTTATCAACCAATTAACCGGATACTGCTCTCAACAAGATTGGGACTCGATGATGAGAGAGATCTCAATCTCACACGACAAAATCCCAACGGTTCTCTTACTCACCTTGTTAGCGAAGAACTTGTTTGAAAGAATGTTTACGGATCCTTTTTTTGCTATCCCCGCACCAGGAGACATCGGAAGAATTTACCACATCATGATCGAAGGTAGGATATCGATCCTACACCCGCTGATGGAAGCTAACAGGAACTGGCAAGCAGCTGATGAGCCAAAAGCGCATATTTGGCGCTCGCAGACATTGCAAAATCTTTCCACCACAACAGACCCCAACACAGAGCCCTTCTTGCAGGACATGGTCAAGAGGCTAGTTAGCGAGCTTGTGACCACATTCCTCACTAGTTCAGCTCGCACTCTTCTTCGTCAGATTGGAAATATGACGCTATCAAGCAGCGTGCTCAGGAGCTCCAATCATTGTATGATGGGGCTGCACGGCTGGCGCTCTCCCTCTGGACTCAGCGGGCTTTCATGACCTGTCAACGCCTGCGACTACCACTGTTTACAGTTTCAACCTCAATGATGCGTGCCCATCGGCTCCACCTTCTCGACGAAGATGATCCGAGGCCCCCTCGGGAAAAGGGTGCTTCTTTGTGTCCAGCCAGCCATCCTAGCCTTTGGTTCCGAGAATGCCGAGCACTACGATTAGCAGAAGGTATGGTCTCCAGCTGTTGTGTTGATGCATGAGAAATAATCCTTAGGATGCCTCACTATTATTAGCTTTGCGTGACGACCGCGCCTAGTATTAGTGCATCCCTTCAGATTGATATATAATTGGGCTACTCATTCAGGGGTTTGATAGGCTTCGGAATATGTCCGCCTTCTTGTCCAATTATCTACTCTAACGAACACCCTAGAAGTTAACCCCCGTCGATTTAGTCTGGTATCTACCACTTAGCTGTGGAACGAAATGCAAGTTGCCTGCGCCGCATACCAACTTCGCAGCCGCCAAGGCAGATTCCGTGGGAGGCGAAAGCATTGGTTCACCAGAGTGGGCGAGAGATCCAGGGGTTGTTGGGGTCACAGGATCCCTCCTCTTGTAGTATGCTTCGCCCTCAGTGTTTCAGCTCGCGCGGCGTCTTGAGCAGGAGTGCTGCGCTACAAACTTGTACTCACGCAACGAAAAGTTGTGAGGCAATCATCATCATTCTCTAGACCGTTAAGATAGTGTTATTCTTCACCTTTACATTCTCGACTGCACAATGGCACATTTGTCCCTTCAACAGGCCCAGGCGACCGTGGACGACATCCGGGTGACCAACGGCGGCTTCTCTCCCGAGGTTCAGAAAGCGCTGCCCGAAGAGGCATTGAGGGCATTCAAGAATCTGCAGTCTATAGCCGGCGGATCGATTGTGCATGTGGCGGAAGACCTGTACGACGCGGACACCCGGTTCATCTTCGAGCTTATCCAAAACGCGGAAGATAATTGTTATGACCATGCTGCTAGTCATGGGGAGGAGCCATTTCTTCACCTCACTCTACATGCAGATCATATAACTGTGGATTCAAACGAGGACGGTTTTACTGAGAACGATGTGCGGGCCATATGCAGCATTCACCGGAGTACAAAGAAACAAACAGGTGGCTATATCGGCCACAAAGGCATTGGCTTCAAATCCGTGTTCAAGGTTGCGTACAAGGTATCTATCCAGTCAGGGCCTTTCTGCTTCTGCTTTGAGCACCGCCGGGGGGAGAGTGGGTTAGGGATGATCACTCCGTTCAACGAGAAGCCTCGGGATCTACCCCCCGGTGTGAACACACGAATAACCCTCTTTCTTACAAGCGTAAGCGACTTCGATAGCCGTGCTTCCGAGCTGAGGGAGATCCCGGACACGATGCTATTGTTTCTTCGTAAACTGCAGAGGCTCACGATAGAGATTCTCCCGCTGCAGTCACGGATATCGTTCAAACGTCACGAGGACTCATCAAAGCGCTTGGTCACGCTTACTAAAGAGACGAATGGCGAACAACTGAAGAGATTTTACCATCTGGAAAAGGCCACCCTTTCCAATCTCCCACAGCATTACAGTCGCCCTGACCAACGCGAGGTCGACCTGATCCTTGCGTTCCCAGTAAATGCGGATTTCAGCCCTCTCATTGAGGCGCAGTATGTGTATTCCTTCCTCCCGATGCGTCATGAAGGATTCAATGTGAGTAATTTCTCCTGCTCATCACGTTGATGCAAGACAGTCCCCTGATATCCCAACAGTTTCTCGTCCAATCGGACTTTATCACCCAGGCCAATCGACAAGGGATCCATCATTGTGATAGAAACCGTGCTATCCGCGACGGTATTAGCAGCTTGTTTCTCCAAGCCGTTAACTACTTCTGCAGGCACACATCCCTCAAATACGAATGGTTGCAGTATCTTCCGGGGATGCACATTCATGACCCCTTCTGGGCTGATCTTCGAGAGATGATTTTCGACCGCCTCAAGGGATCCAAAATTATAATGTCCCGCAAAGGTGCCTTGAATTACCCAAAGAAGCTGGAGCACCTGTCGTCACAGCACTGCGATCGTCATGGCCAACCTCTGTTGGATGATATTGACCCTGAGGTTTACCTGTCGCAATCATACCGTTGGACAAGGCATGCTGAGAATTTGACCGAGCTTGGGGTGGCCAGTCTGTCCTCCGAGAACATCCTAGATCGTTTGGTGCCATACCTTGAGGGCTCATCACCAAAATTTCTCGATCCGAGTTTGGATGATGATTGGCATACCAAAATAGCAGCTCTGCTTCTACGCGCTCTAAAACGACAGGCGAGTCGCTCTCTTCTGACCGAACGAATAAGAAAGATGGCCCTCGTTCCCACTTCAGACGGGTCTCTTTTATCGGCAAGGTCTTCTGCTGTCTATTTCCCAGATGATGAGAGAGAGAATCCTATACCCGAGGGCCTGAAAGACATACGAATCGTTCAACGTAGCGTACTGGAAAACAAAACAAGACGAGAGCTTCTCGAAGCATTGGGAGTCGCACGTTGCAATTCAAACAGAGTAGTGAAGTCTATTCTGGAGCTGTACAATGTACGCCACGGGGTCACGCTAGAGAAATCAGTCAGCCACTTGAGGTACCTCTTCAAGACCTTGGGGAAAGGAGAAACTCTAGACAACCGCATCTTCATCAAGGACCAGATGGGAAAACAGGTCTACCGCGCCTTTGTCACTCTCGGTCCCGGAATTATCAAGGACGACTTGTACTTCGAGACGCAGGGAGAATATGGTACGAAAGAGCTCGCTCAGAAATTGCGGTGCGGGTTCAATCAGCAGAGTTGTCCTCCATTTGAAATGCATATTATCCACAGCGCATATATTGAGGCTGTACCGCCCGGGACCGTCAGTAATGGGCGAACCTGGGAGCAGTGGCTGGAAGAAGTGGCATTGGTTCGCTGTATCCCAAGGCTGAAAAGTTCCTGGGCAGATGAATTATCCACGCTGTGCCAGCACCTCGCGAACTATCACCCGATGACCTTGATAGGAATATTAAAAACGAACTGGAGCAGCTACCAGGCAGAACTCACACCCGGCGTGATCGAAGCCTTGGAAGAAATGGAAGTCCCTTGTCGGAATCACTCGAAGGCCTATCTCCGAGACACTTATTATCCATCTAAGGAGATGCAGCAATTATGTTCCGACGCGACTCTTGAGGAGATTTTTGATGAATTTATAGATGCTCCTGCTAACTTAGCAACCGATGACATAGATGGATGGGAGTTCTTAGCCTCATTTGGAGTTACACTAGAGGCAGATTTTTGGTTTTTTTGGAACATTTTCCGCTGCCTGGTGGAAAAAGCCCCTCTCAATATCCAGGCACAGGCTGCCTTCTTCAGGATGTATAAGGAGCTCTCCATTCGATTTCGTGGTGCATCCAACAAGTTGAGGCAGTGAGTGTTTTGGTCAACTGCGGAGACTACCAATATTAATCAGCTTCATAGGATTTTCGCAGAGTGGAAAGGTGTCTGCATTCCCACACGTTCAGGGGAGACTTTCGAGTTAGCACATGACTCAGAGTGTGTCTGGAACGGACACCACACTCTTCGGACGAAGCATCCTCTTGCTATTCACCCTGAGTATTCTAATGACCCACATGTGGCATATCTGTTTAAGGATATACTCTCTGTGAGTGACGCGGACGTTAGCACTTATCTTGAGGAGCTCCAATGGTGCAAAGACAACGCAGATGTGGCTCTGGAAGACCTGAGGGCAATATACGACTGTATATCACAGAATATACAGAAACCTGAAGACCGCGCCCTGATACTGTAAGAGATATGCAAGTGACATGAAAGCCGCTACGAGGCTAATTAAATCCCAGGAGCAAATTTACTGAACGAAAACTGGTGTATCTTCTGGCAGAACGAGCTTGGCTGGCGCCTGAATCCTGTGTTTGGGCAGATGCTCTGAAAATTGGAGCGCAGTATGGCATCAGCGCTGTATACCCAGAGCTGGAGAGCTTCTTCCGTGGTCCTCTGAATGTGCAAACTCCAACAGCAGCGACTTACTTAGAACAACTCAGGAGGTTAGCATCCGATGAGGTTGTGGATATTGGCGCGGTCAAAGCGGCCATCTATGACCTCAATGGACTGCGACCAGGGTCAGATGAGCTCAGGGGTCTTTCACACATTAAGTTTTTGCCGGTAGCAATGCCGAATGGCACTGTGGAGATATTAAAGCCCACCGATACATTCTTCATTGCAGACAGGATTGAATATCTCTCCGCTTTTCGGGACAAAGTTCCCATTCTGGACTTTTCTCTTGAAGAAGTCCGGTGCTTGCACCAACTCCTGGGACGTATCGGTCTAGAGGACCGATACATGTCAACGGCAGTCCTGGAGAAGACTGTTGTCGGTCAGCCATCCCACGAGCACTGCCCCAGCGAAACGCGGGAATTGCGAAAAAAGGCGACACACATTTACCGGTAAGTGTGGCAGCGGGAGCCACCTGAGAGAGTTGCTAAAAGCTTTATAGTTGCATCTTACATTACAGTGAGGAAGGCCGAGAAACTGTTGGCCAGAGGCTCCGGCAATTGCAAAATGTACTTGTTTATGAAAGCGCTGGTTTTAAAAAATCGTTGGTGCTTCAGTTAAACGAAGTTACGGCGAGAGTACAGAGCGATACGGGGTTGGTGCATATCGAGGACGTTAGCGATGTGTTGCGCATTTACATTCCCAGAGACGATAGTGACCGTCAGCGCTGCTACCACCTTGACCTTCCCCAAGCCCTGAGACGTCATTTTGGCCTTAGGGACTCCGCAGCATCATTTTCTTTTGCATTGATTTTTCTCACACCGGAGAACCTCATTGATGAATCGCTAGATCGCCATGGCATTGTTCGGATCTCTCCCGACATCTCTCAACAACTAGAGTCCGAATCTACGGATACGACAATCTCGGAGGCTCATGTTGAAGAAGGCAACGTTTTCTCTGGATCTGAAGAGAGTCGGGAGAGTGGGGAGGGCATAGATACACCACGCTCAAGCCCTGAAACCACAGTAGAGCTACCGAGGACAATAGTCACTCACTACAGGACGTCAACTCCACCCCCGCGGCTTTTCAGTGTTCCTCCTCCTGACAGGGCTTCCCCGGACAGAGTTCCCAGGCCTTTCTCTGAGCATCACCCGTACATTCAGCTTCTAGACAAAGTCATCAGACTGGCTCGTCCGCTCACACTTTCTGAAGCTTTACAACGCCCAATGAACACAGTGTTGGGCAATGCAAATACTTCACACGAGTTGGTCTTCGGGGTCCGATCTGAGAATTTGCTAGCGCACGATATCAAGATCGGTGCTGCCGGAGAGCTATTTGTTAGTCTCAACCCTCTATATCCCTTCTCTATCCTAAAAGTAGCTAACTTCTAATATTCTAGGTATTTGAGCTTTTGTCGTCATCAGACCTTCCGGGATTTAACCGCGGCAACTGGCGTAGCAACATTCGCAGGCATGTCTCCGTCCATCCCGACTACCACGACCTTGCACCCTGGTCTGGTGTTGAAACTGCGGATCTAGTCTATCGCGACACAAGGTCAACCTTAACCACCATTTTGATTGACGCCGGATATTTGTCCCACGCACGGTGGTGTGGTGCAAATCCGACATACTATATAGAAGTGAAGACGACGACTGGGGAGTGCGACAGTGCTTTCTTCATGAGCAAAAGTCAGTACAGACGAGTATGTTTCGGGTCCCTGCGCACTTCATCATGTCCTATAGCGATAGTCCTTACTAACAGTCACCCGTAGATGCAGACAATGAGGATTGAACATAACGAACAGGCAGAGCCACAGATCTACATGATCTTCAGAGTCTACTCCTTGGGCAAGGATAGCATGGGGTTAAAAATTTATGTTGATCCGGAAAGTCTACGGCAAGAGCAGAGGCTAATTTTCTCGCCGGAGTCATACAGTGTTTGTCCCGGTCTAGTCGCATAGTTGGGAGCAAACTAGCAGCCGGGTGGATTGGCTTAACTAAGTATCTTCCTTCTGACATAGTTGACTGCGTAAATATGATGAGTCAACGAAGACGGTCGTCAAACCATTTATGTTCAGCCTCAGCGGCTGTTGTCATTCAAAAGCGTGTCTCTGGGATGTATGGAGTAAATAGACTCAATCTGCTTGTCGTTCCAGCCCTGCTTCTAGGGCTGCTATAGTGATAGCGTACGCCCTGCGACAGTTATGTTGGATGATTAACATATTCTCGATGATGCTCTACCCGCTTGGGGTCTAGGCGTCTGCATATCCCCCATATTAGTGTCCCTAGGGGTCGTTGGGCGGTTATCGGTCATGGCCATTTGGGGCGTTGTTGTAGTGTCTGGTGGTGGACTTCTTGATTCTGAGTTACTCCTTAGGCGATTCGGCGTCAGAATGGCAAAGCTTGACGAGCTAGGTATAGATGCATCCTGCGACTTAGTCTTGCTAAGCTCTTTTCGTGCCTGTCTCTTTGTAGGGCAGTTAGCTGTGGTAGCTGGGTGATTTCCTCCGCAGTTGCCGCATCGCGCTGGCATATGTTGACATGCCTTCCCTGGCTTGGACACGCAATTCACCACATTGCATGCGTGGTTCAGTCCTTCGTGTGGACCAGCGCAGATAAGGCACTTAGGGAGGCGGTCCCCACATGCTTTGAAGCTGCGGTGACCAATACCACAGCATCTTGGGCACACAGTGTCTGGTCCCAGCTCCCAGAAATGCTCTGTTCTGTACCTAGAGCCTCCAAAGCGGATGCCGTTTGTGCTCAGCTCTCGGGCTTCCTCCAGTGATCCCACTGTGATCACTATTGTAGACCCTTTCTGGTTTCCTTCTCGAAGTTCTCTTGGGCTCCTGAGCCATGTCGGGTCCCTCTTCAGTCGCAAAGTACTTCCTGTTTCAATTTCTTGCCTGGCCAGCACTAGGCCTAAGGTTAGGTAGCGTCTAATAGGCACTCCATGCACCTTCAGCCTGTACCATTGTTCTGGTGCCTCCACTGCTATAACCGCGGGGTCCACCTGCCGCGCTGCTGTGATCAGCATGTCTGCATGGTGCGGGATAAGCATTGAATTCAATGCTCCCTTCTGTAGGAAGACTGATATTGCTCCTGTGGCCGTATAGCCCGCGTCAATGATCCGGACAAAGCCTGGCAGCCCTATACTGGTGAGGGCTAGGTTCAGTTGTAGTATGATGTCTTCCTTTGCCACTTTTGGCGCGTCTGATCCCCTTTCTCGCCTCAAGATTAGCCTCCGAGCCCCCTAGGGCAATGTTTTGCTGGTTTAAGTTCTGTCTTTGGCTCTGGCTGCGTGGTCCGTGCCTTCGGCGCCTTGCGTGGCTTCTTCCCTGGTACTGTTTGCCATCCCTGGCGTCCAGGGTTTGTTGCTAGTAGCGTTGCTATATCCGCATATGATGTCTTGTCTGGCCTTGAACGTTGTGCTGGTCCTTTAGAATGCATGACTAACGGCTCGGGTGCGGCTTCACTAGTTGATCTAAGTGTAGACAATCCTTCAGTGCGTAAGTCCTGGTGTACATTAGAGATTTGGGGCGTCTTGAGAGCTTCAGTAACTGGCTTTTGGTTCTTGACTGCGTCTAGGGCTTTTTGAAGCTTCTGGACTTCTCCTTCAAGCTGATTGATTCTTTCGAGGTGCTGTTTTTCCTTGATGTGCTGTTCTGCATCTCGTTTTTCTAGCTCCTCCTGGAGTCGTCCCCATAGGAGCTCTAAAGTACCAAGCAAGGAAGGAAGGAAGGAAAAGGTGTTGGGATAGGAGATCGGAAATCAACCAGAGATACAACGTAGTCGACATACAACGTAGTCAACAAATTCGCGCACAACGCCGCGAAGACCGTCAGAACTGCCCAGCGGCCCACATGTCACCATAGGCAAGAGAACAGCCTCAGGGGCGAAATAAATTGCTCAATAACTAATGAAGCAACGGTAATAAAATCTCAACCCATCAAATGACCTTCAGAGACCCCGTAGCTGAAGGCAGGCAAGAGGGGCGCAGACAGCGCCATACTGGAAAAGGGCAATCGTCGGATAACGCGGCATCCTCCTAGCGGGGCAGTGCATCGAGTGAGGGAGATGAGAAGGGGAAAACGGAAAGAAAAAGCGCGTCGTTGTTCGAGGGAGAGATGTCGGGCTTATATAGATGGGGTGATTGCGTCGAGGCGGCAGGAGAAACTGGTAAAAGCAGCGAGAGTCAGCGCGATGCCCAAAGCAGTAAACACTATCCCGCAACGGGCAGTCAGACTGCCGCGGGCGGCAGGCGGTGGTGGGCGGCAGAGCGGCGGTTCAATGAGGGCCGTTTCTGGCGCCCCGCTAACCGTGTCATCGTATACTCTATACGAGTTGCGTTGTCGGCGGCCTCACGGCCGCCGACGTGCACATGGAGCCAGTTAATAAACTTGAATATTCTTACTACATGGTGTAGCTATCTACCTATTCTGCAGTATAATGCGCCGGCCGTTTTCGTGTGCGACGGGGGCGCAGGTCCGCAGGTTGGTCCTGGAGCAGTGGGCTGGACCGCTCAGAGACCATGATCCGTGAAGTCCTTTCATAGGGACCGACGGTACCCATATCAGTGTCCCTATATCTTTCATCGTCGCTTGGTAGCGCTGATTCACTTGGTGGGGATGTAGCACTGGTTGCAGTGAGCAGCTGGCGGTCTATATCATCCTGATCGTCCTGCAAGCGGCGAGGCCTTTTTGATGGTGTAGATTGCTCTACACTAACACTGCTACCAACACCGGCACGTCGGCCCCATCTGTCGTGTACTGGCCGCTTAGTACCGGCTGCAGATTAAGGTGTCTGCGGGGTGGCCGGCATTGATGGTGGACCACCTGGGACAAAGTAGATATCGTCCACCTGGACGGCCAGGTGCGGTTCTTCAACTGTCAGGCCGCATACGTGGCCAGCAACAATGACTCGGCTCTGTGGTGTGATGGAGGGGAAGTTGGCCCATTATTTCCCGTTTTTGAAGTAGATCCGGACCATGAAGGTCGCCTAGGTCTTAACAGAGCTGTCATAGACAGTAGTGCAGAGGTCATAATGCAACAGCGTTTGGCCTTCATTCAGCTGACCACCAGAACAGATCACAGTTTCCATGAGGGTTATGGTTAGGGGAGCTGCCTCTGGGCAGTGCATAGCATACGCCTCTGGGTCGGTGTAGTCACTAGGATGACTGGGGTTTGTCAAAGAAGGCACTCTAAGGGGGTGCATCATGGGAAGGAGAAGGTAGAGACAGGAATAGAAATCCAGTACCCACCAGGAGACAGAATGAGCGTTTATAATCAGCTGTGGCCGGCTGTCCACATCATGTCTCATTGAGAATGAGCCCCAGACATAGATGAAAACGTCCTGTCGATAGAGGTGTGATCGTGTAGGGGGCGTGAAGAAACGCACTATTGTAGGGATTGGGCAGATCTGATAGTCATCTGAGAGCTCTCCAGGCAACAAATGGGGGACATTCAAGGTGATTTTGAGTTGCAGGGCAGCCGGCTGCTCTGGACGGGTTGGGTCTGGGGTGAGTTCCTCAGAAAAGTCGCGCAGGTGGATGATCGCAGGGTTATTTCCCTTTGACATGTCGGCAAAGATCAGACAGAGATAGCCCTATATATGCCGAGTGAACAGAGCAGATTGAGATGGTCTATATCGTACTGAAGACCGAGAGTGTGAAAGTGTACAGGTATATATAGAGATGGAAGGGACAGAATGTGGTTAGAGCCTAATGTAAACGTGATCAAAGAGGGATTACCGCGAGTAACTGAGCTGGCAAGGTGTTGGATATGGAGGTGCAGCAAGAAGGATCATTGGATATGCGGCTGGGATAACTGCTGTCGATGCGGTGCTGGCATAGCGGGGCCATCGTGGGCAAAAGGTCACCATTAGGAGGAGGTGCAGGAGGGGTAAAGACGGGTAATATACCGCAATATTCTTCCATCAGCAAAAGAAGGACCACTCATATGGGAAGGAGTAGGTCGCGATAGACAATGTTGAGCGTTGGCTCGTCTTGCTCCCAAGGGTTCCGGAGGACGCGGATGTCAGCTCCACGCCGGACGCGAGAGAGGCTGGTGTAGAGCTGGCCATGTGCAAATACTGGCATGGTGAGGTCGAGCACGACGCGGTCTAGTGTCAGGCCCTGACAACTGTTGAAAGTGGTGGCGTATGCCAGCCGGAGTGGGAACTGGCGACGCTGGACGGTCCAATTCGCACGATGCGGTCGGAATTCAAAGGTGATGCGAGGGAGGCAGAAGATCTGTGTCTCCTCACCGGTAGTTTGAGAGGTCAGTAGCTGATTATGTTGCAAGAGACGCACCTGGACGACATTAGTAAGTAAGTTGACTACCTGCACCCTCACATTCTTGACCAGGCCCTTTTCAATGGATAGGTTCCGCATGATGCTCGCGATGCAGCCGACTTTAAGAGAAAGGTTATGTGGAGGGACGCCAGGCTCATGCAACATGGCAAGAAGATCAGCTTCTGCACCGGTCGGTAGGTGGAAGCTGGACTCGTCCATTTCCTTAATTGTATCGTGACTGTAGTAAGCGGCTTCGTTGTAGTTAGTATACTAATCAGACATCAGCAGAGAGGGAGGGTTTACTGGCAGGCGCTGATAGGGAGTCTAGCAGCAGTTGGTTGAACACATCTACCCGCGCGTTGAAGGGGCTCAGGAATGCTCGGCGGACAGCATCAGGGGAGGTAGCAAGGGAGTCATCAAGGAATAGGAATCTTGCAGCACCGTCCATGTTTTCAAGATGCTGCAGATGTCGCACTAGCACAGTGGCCTTAAATGGCGCCACGCCATCACCGAGCTGGTCCACCCAGGTGGCGTAAGCCATATCCCCTGCATACCGGATCGGAATGGTCAGACGCAGGATGTCGAAGTGGTCCTAGAGATATGAGGAGCGAATAGAGTTGTTCAGCGTGGCAGATGGGCCAGAGCTGCCACGGACGACAGGTGCCACTTAGTGGAAGTCACCCAGTCCAACAAAGGTCTTTCCACCAAAGGGAAGCTGGTTATCCATAATGTCTTGGAGTAGCTGGTTTGCGCACTCCAGCACAGCCTTTTTCGCCATTGGTAGCTCTTCCCAGATGATCAGTTGCGCACGACGGAGTAGTTCTGCACGCGCGCCATACGGACTAATCTTTGATTCTAAACCCTCGTCACTGTCCTGCACAGGAATACCGAAGGCAGAGTGGGCAGTCCTACCGCGCTCATAATGGATGACACTGAGCGCAGTCGTGCCTGTGACACAGACAATGCCACCATCGCCACGGACTTGGTCACAGAGGGCAGCCATCAGAAAGGTCTTGCCCCGCCCAGCGCGGCCGTTGACAAAGCAGCAGGCTGCACCATGTCGATCCTCCTGGCCCAGGATGCGCTCAAAGATGCGTCGCTGGTCACCGTTCATCCTCGCACGGGCCGCGTTAGCCCGGGCACGGAGCGCTGCCTGGTGTGGATGGAAGAAGTTAAGCTCCAGGTCCACCTCAGTGTCATGGTGGTGGCGTTGTGGCTCTGGTAAGCCGCATTGGGCCAGGGAGGAGCCTTGCGAGGAGAGGTAGCGGGCGATATCCTCCAGGGCCAGATTAGTGGCGTCGTCTGTATGATGGTGGAGTGCGTAGTCTGCGCAGAGGTCACGCTGGAACTGTGTCCAAAGTTGGATTGCGGGGAATGGAAGGTCCAGGAGAAGATACGCAAAGAGGAAGCGGAGCTGCGAGGGGCGGCTGTACGCAGCAATCGCCTCACTAATGGCGTATTCAGCCTCGCTAACGTTGTGGAACAGGCCCAGGGCGGTGGCCGCTTCGTGGTAGGTTTCATGGCAGTGGCCATGGACAGTACGGAGATCTTGGAAGCTTGATGCAGGGCGCACCTGTAGCAGCGCTTGTAGATAGAACTGCTCCTTGTAGTGTAACGGGATGGTCTGTATGCGGGTGACAATATCACCAGTTGCACGTCGCCGTAAGACCTTCTGGCGCAGTCCTTGGCTTGTCTCCACATGGGTGATCAGGACCTGACCTCTATCAAGTGGGTTGTCTAATGGTAAGGTCTCGAAGTAGTAGCAGGTGAAGAATTCCATATATGTCAGCTGCTGGAACGGCTCTGTAGGCGGACGCTGGAAGTACCATAACAGATCACTCATCGTGGAGAATCCCGGCGTAGTTGGATGGCGCATCCTGGCGAGGTTACGTCCTTCCAGGTGGACTGGGAGGCAGCGGACACTTGGATTCTTATGCACAGTTTTAAAGTTGAAGATACGGTACACTGCCTCAGAGGCAGACAGATAACGCGCGCTCACATAGTCCTTATACTCATTGACAATGTCTTCCTCATCCCCAGCGTCCACCATGTTGTGAAGGCTGAATCTGGTGCGGTCAGGGCCCTTGAAGAGGTATTTAAATAGATAGAGGAAGATAACTGCCGTGGAGCAGACGTTAACATAGATGTGGCAGTCGAGCAGGTTCAGTAGTGCGGGTATATGCGGTGTCACCCAGCAGCTCTCAGCGTTCCGGCGACGGTAGTGCACGCGTCCCAGGTCGTCAAGGTGTGTGTGGGGGGTCACAGGCTGCGGGTAGCTGTAAATACATCGGCCGTTGCGGTTATAGCGCGATCCTGGACGGGCCAGGTGGTTCTGTGAGTGCATGTGGAAGCATCTTACCTGACGGTAGAGATCTGGTTCCTGCTCTGCATCTGGCAGCTCTGCGGAAATGAAGATATCGAGCGCTGACAGCGGTGGCTCCTGCTTGAACTTCACCACAATGTGGGCGTGTGGCAGGCCTCGCTTCTGGAACTCAACGACGCTGATCTCATAGACCAGCCCCCCGAATCGCTTACGCAGGAAGGCCTTCAGGACCCCCAGCCGCGCTTGAAAGGCGCGGCAGACGACAGCTGGGATATCAGTAACATCCTGGCCAGGTAGGAGTTGCGACTGGATCTCCGACCATTGCGGGTTAGTCGTCATGGTTAACCAGACTGATGGCTTTCCCAGCTTCCTAGCGATTGCCAGTGAGTCTGTCACCTGGTCAGAGGCCCAGGCGCAAGAGCCCATGAAGCTCGCCGGGATCTTGTTCTGGAAGAGGTCAGGGATTAAAGGGTCAGCGGCCTCATCCATTGATGTAGCGTGGACACGGCGCCCCCGCTGCAGGTAGTGTAATCGCTCCTCCTCCGTCCGCGAGAACATATCAACGGCGTACTCGCAGGCGAGGCGGCCGAGGACCTGGAAGCGCCGCTCGGAGAGGAAGAGGTGGCGGTACCACTGGATCTGCGTGCAAGGCAGGGCTTTCTGGAAGTCATTAATGTAGCCCCAGCCGCATGTGCCATGGGGAAAGAGCAGCGGATACTGCAGCGGCTCGTACTGACAGGACAGGATGGGGACAAAGCGCGGTTGTCGACCTCCTCGGCGGAAGAAGACCACCTGGCGAGGGCTCACGTGACGGAGACCGTCCGTGTTGATAACGGCAGCGATCTCACCACCTGTTGGTGGCACTGACAGTTCCACTGCCAGTGGCGTGGCCTCATCGCTCACCTGGGTCAAGGCATAGC